AATACTGCTACTGTGTTGGATTTAATTAAATTGTGTTCATTAAATTGGGTCAAGGCCAAGCAAAACATGGAATTGACTAAAGACTTGTGGTTTGAGAACCCTAGGGGAGTATGTAATTGAAAAAAGGAAATTAAAAGTTCTTACACTGGGACTGAAAGGTGGAATGTAGAATGAGCTTCTTAGGATGATGTAAAGGATTTGAGTGCCCTTTGTACTCTTTTTTCTTTTTCAATAAAATTAGCTTTGTCGATAAAAAAAAAAAAAGTAATAGAATTCAACTATTTGTTGGCAAGCTTAGCTTGCAAAAGTGTGAACTGAGCGCTTTAAGAATAATATAGAGCTTTACAACATAAAGAAACAAGAGTGTGTTAACTATAATGAAAATTATTTACAAAATTGAAATCAATTGCATTGACATAATTGAAATGTGTTGACAAAATTTGTAGAACCATAGATTTGAAAGTGAAATTATGAAGGCAAAGGGATGAATCTCACATAAAACAATTAAAAGCTAAAAGTAGAGAGCTTAAGATCTAGTCTCCTAATCTAGAAATTAATTGACTGTTTGACTTAAACACATGTTGCAAGGTAAATTGTGTTGTTTAGTGTTGAGAAGGGCAGCTCTCTTTAAAATATGCTAAATCCTCATATTTCTACATGACGAATGCCAAAAATAGCTTATAACTACCCACAGCTCAATTGTAAAAATATGGTCACAACTGCCTAGTCTAATTGGACAACCTAGCAACAGACTTAGTTATTCCTTCACAAGAACTTGCCACTTGTCTTCTTTTCCTCAGAATTAGCCTTCCATGTCACCCATTTGATGAACTTGATTGGTAACCACCTCCTAAATCATAGCCATTATCTCTAAAAACTTGAATAAAATAAGATAATTATGAGATAATTACCAAAATACCAAATTTGGTTGAACATGTGATAGACATCAATAGGGTCATTCATGCTCCAAATCACAGCAAAATTAGGTTTGATGTGATTTAATTGTAGTCATTTGTTTAAATCACATAACACATGACATTATTCAATAATTTTGTAATTTATGGTGTAAAATGTTTTTTTAATCTATGCATTTAGGACAAAAGTTAAAGGCATCTTTTTGTTATAAATGTATATAGAAACATGTAAAAACTAACATTAATATTAGGTTAAATGTTGATTTTGGTCCCTTAACTTTGAATGTTTGTATAGTTTTAGTCTCTCAACTTTTTATGTATTTTTTTTGTTCTTCAGTCAGTTTCTCCATTCAATATGTTTATAAATACATATTTTTAGTTTTTAAACTTTTAAGTTGAGGGACAAAAATTATGCAAAATCCTAAAGTTGAGGGATTAAATTTGTGTATATATAGACAAACGTAACAAACCAACTAATGGAGGGATTAAAAAAGTGTATTTTTCATAGTTGAGAGACCAAAATTATGTAAAACTTTAAAGTTGAAGGACAAAAATTGACATTTAATTTTAATTTCAATATCACCGCAAAGTAGACGAATTAAATTTGATAGTTAATAAATTGAAAGTTAATTTTTGTTTTTCTAACATAAATTTATTACAAAAAATGCATTTATTAAAGTCTTAACATGTGACATGAAGGCATAAGTTAAAAAACCCCATTATAAAAACCCTATTAACCACAAACAAAAATTGGAAGGGCATACATACATCGAATTGTGCCTCCATAAATTTGTACCCTCAAACACTAAACAAAGATAATTAATTGAACTTTAGCAGTCTAGCTAGACAACTGATGATAATGCAGAATGGAAGAGGAAGGGAATGATGTGGAAGGGGAGATTGACCTCAATTCAGGCGAATTCCGGCACAGGGGGCATGTCGTATTCATCCTTAGCCACTCATCTATGCAATCGGCATGAAAATAATGTTTGCAATCTGGTATGGTCCTCAACGCTTCCTTAGGCTGGTATTCCGACAGGCATATGGGGCAAGTGTTGTCATTAGGATTGGGTAATCGCCTACTTTCACCTAGCAGTGTCCTGGGGTAGGATTCAATGGTCGGTCCGTTGAGTCCGGGTGCGATAACAGCATGCTGGAAGGCGACTGAAGTGGATAATTCAGTGGTAGGCTGGTGGTGCTGGTGGTGAGTATAGGCGTTTACTCCGCCAGTGTTGCGAAAGAAAAGTGCAATCAAACACAAAAACCCCAGTATTGCAACGCCTATGATTATACCGTACCTTGCACTCCGTGGAAGCCCATGTCCTGCAATTAATGCAAGAAAAATTAATTAATCAAATTTCAATTTCAGGGGTCGGTTGGAAATCTTTTAAAACCAATGAATTGGATCGTTGGATTCTTTCGAATTTTCCGTAAACTGGATATTATAGTTATTCAATGGATATAGCAGTACCTTTGCTTGCAACAACAAAGCACCCGACTTCCAGACTCTGATTACTCTTGAACCCACAAGTTCCGTCGTGCAACTCACATGAACGGCAGTCTGGTCTCACCCACTCTAACATCAACCCGGTGGTAGGTTCCAGGGAA